GATCTCTAGTTCCTCTGCCTCTTTGAAACCCAGCTTGTACATCCGGTAGTTCTCGATTCACATACTGTTGAAGCCTAGCTTGTAGGATTTTGAGCATAACCTTGCTAGCATGTGAAATGAGTGCTATTGTGCAATAGTTTGAGCACTCTTTGGCATTGCCCTTTGGAATTGGAACGTAAACTGACCTTTTCCAATCCCGTGGCCACTGTTGCGTTTTCCAAACTTGCTGGCATATTGAGTGCAGCACTTTGACAGCATCATCTTTTAGTATTTTAAATAATTCTATTGTTTTCCTAGATTTCTTTGCACTGTTCATTTAAGAAGGCCTTCTTATCTCTCCTTGCTATTCTCTGGAAATCTGCATTCAGTTGCTTATATCTTTCCCTTTCACCCTTGCTTTTCACATTCCTTCTTTCCACAGCTATTTGTAAAGCCTCATCAGACAGCCATTTTGCTTTCTTGCATTTCTTTTTCCTTGGGACGGTTTCTATTGTTTTCCTAGATTTCTTTGCACTGTTCATTTAAGAAGGCCTTCTTATCTCTCCTTGCTATTCTCTGGAAATCTGCATTCAGTTGCTTATATCTTTCCCTTTCACCCTTGCTTTTCACATTCCTTCTTTCCACAGCTATTTGTAAAGCCTCATCAGACAGCCATTTTGCTTTCTTGCATTTCTTTTTCCTTGGGACGGTTTTTCCTTGGGACGGTTTTAGTTGCTGCCTCCTGTACAATGTTACAGACCTCCGTCCATAGTTCTTCAGGCACTCTGTCTACCAAATCTAATCCTCTAAATCTATTCATCACCTTCACTGTGTACTCACAAGGAATATGATCTAAGTCATACCTGAGTGGTCTAGTGGTTTTCCCTCCATTCTTCAATTTAAGCCTAAATTTTGCAATAAGAAGCTCATGATCTGAGCCACAGTCAGCTCCTGGTCTTGTTTTTGCTGTCTGTATAGAGCTTCTCCATCTTTGGCTGCAAAATATATAACCAATCTGGTTTCGGTAATTCTCAAAAGCAATGCAGATTAACTACTTAGAAGCAATTCAAGGAAGCTTGTGCCCATTCAAGCAGGAATAGAATTAAATCTGATCCCAACAGAGACTGCCCAGTAGCTATATACTCCCTATGCACCTATATCTGCCTACACTGTGCTTATCTGGTATTTAGCGACATGACAGCCTACTTTACAAGGTTCTTGTTAAGATCAAGAAAACTGTACTATACCATAGATGCTATTTTATTATTATAATCGTTCCAGGGGGAAAAAAACTGATCACTTTCACTCCACACCCTACATTTTAAAAAGCTGTAGAAATAGACCTGGGCTATTTCTGACACTGTAAATGGAGCTGGACTACAAGAAGCAGGTTACGGCAGCATTTGGCAGCTTCTCATTGAAATATCTCCAATGAGAAGGGCAAGAATCAGTTCCAATATTTAGACTAGCTTTGCCTCTGTTCATTTCTCTGACCTCCAAGTAAATGAAGCCAGAGCTCTGCTCTAGTCTTAATGCATTTTTCTGCTGGTGAAATTCCTCCTGGCTGTCATATTCAGCTTTTCTTTTTTCTGCCTTTGAAGACACGGGTAGCCCCTTGTCCAAAGCAAATAGCAGGTGGGATTCTGAAAGACAAAATGCAAAAGAATGCATACTGGCTTGGTTACAGTAGTATAATAAACAAATGAATACAGGCTGACAAGTCCTGCTACGGTTTCTTAGATTTCCAAACAATCTGAACTACAGAAGACAATATTAGTTTTACAGTATATAGATCCAAAGTGGGGAAAGGTGCTTCAGATCCTTCACTATACCTGTCAGCAGCTCCTTAAAAGAGCCACACCTTTTCCAGGACTTGCAGGATTTTTTTTTTCCTTTGGTCAGCAATTAGCTCAAAGAAGGAATCAATTCTTTCACTGAACTATTTGTGATTTGAATATATTTAACTTCTCTTAAATATTTCTGACATTGTGAGATTGGTCCTCTGACCAATAAAAAAGAAAAAATAGTAAGCATTCAGGGAAATATATCCAAGCATTCAAGTTATTAAATTATGCCAATTATATCCAGATTGGGTGGTTATCAGATTTTTTTTCTGAACCAGAATTCTACCAATCATTAACAGAGTTGATTAGCAATTTCATACAAACAAAAATCTGTAACTAGTATTTCAGAATCTGAACAATTTTTGGCTTTATTCTGGCACTCAGAGATCTTTACATTATATTAACAGGCATACATAATGACATTTTTTAAAAGTACAATAGCTGCAGTGCAGGCCAACAATTCTGAAATTAAAAAATGTAAGCAATCATGTGAATATTCATAGGACAGAGGATAGGCAGATCTGCTAAAGGATGTAGGATTTTAAGTCAAATAATGAAAATGAATTATCAACTGATTCAGGCTTTATCTTAATTTAGACAGTTCCAGTGAAAGATGATATTGGACAGAAATTCCAGTAAACTGACATCAGTTTGTTGAAAAATACATATTAGGTCAAAAAGTTACAATAAATACCACCTTGTCTCCACCAGTGAACTAAAATATTCAAATTCTGTATAGACTGAAACAAACACAGGTGTTTCTGTGCAAAGTCAGGTGGATGTTCATACCAAAAGGTGATTCTAACTCATCTAAAAAAGCAAAGCCACCAACCTGGATTTATAGAGCCATTTTTCAGATGCTGGAAAGACCACAGTACCCTCTGTCCCAGACTGAAAGCCACTTTCCATTATACTCTCATTTGGACCTATTTCCATGGCATCAACAGGTGATTGTTCTGAGTCTTCCACAGTCATATCCATTGATGCACTGCTTTCTTCTGATGGAGGCCTCATTTTCTCTTTCCTATTGCAGAAATATAGCTCAGAATCAAAATACTGAAAAATTGTTGGCAAGAATATTATAAAAAGCCTTTAACATCCATGCCAGTCCTCAATGATATTCATTTTTCCTTTTAAGCAGTCAAGACAGAAGATGTTATTGTTAGTGATTTAGCTTAGACTTCAAGCAGAGAAAAACCTAGGTTCAAATCTGTATTCAGTCATAAAGCTCATTCAATGGCTATGTGTCACTCCCTCCCTCTTAGCCTAACTTATCCAATCAAATTGATGCAGAATTAAAGGGTACGTGTGTGCAAGAACTATAAATATTGCTGTGAGCTTCTTGGAAGAAGAAAAAGAATACACAGTGATCACACCAACAATAATCATAACTACAAACTGCTCTTCTTTTAGGTTTTCTGTAATTCCACAGATCAAAACATTTCTAGTGAGCAACTCATCTCAAATATACATTCTACTGTACATTTTAGGCATTTACACATTTACCTTCGTGCCTTCAGGGATTTATCAAAGCGAAAATCAGATGGATACCGATGAACTGTGATTAAGTGATCCTTGCGGTCTTTGCTGCTCTTGAATTTCTCTAGACAGCTCTCTACCAAACACTGGTACTGGAAAGAGGCACAAAAACTAGTAAGAAGTAAGATCAGCATTCCATGTTCTACTTTTGAAGTTACTAGTCCACCGGTAGGGAGTATACTAGCACATGACCTTAAATTCAATCTTCCCAACAAGTTTGGGAATGGCCTTAGTACCAGCAGCTGACAGAGTCCAACAATACTTCATGAATCTATGAAGGGGACTAAGTATACGGCAGTTTTACTGTTTTCAATGCACAAGAGAGAAATGAACTACAGGCAGAGCACTGTTTATGTTCCTAAGCTTTTTTATAACAACTGGATCAAGACTGCATGTCTTCTAAATGAGGTATTGTTTGTGGTTGTGATGGTAACATTCTTGATTACAAAAACACAAGCTGCAACTGTTAATATAACTAGGGTTACATCTGTACTGAAGCCACTGAATCATGGGCAATCTATATGTCTCATGGCCGCTTACCATATTCTGCTTCTCTGCCATTATGTGGAAGAGGGAATCATGCCACTCCAGAATGTGAACATCTAGCAAATGTGTTGAAGGGAAGGCTCGTTTGCAAGAAGAACACACATTCCTGTGCAGCATGTTGTAATGATGTTCATAGCTCTCCAAGGTGTTGAAAACCTGGCTACACCCACCAATTTGGCAAGAAAATTCAGAGGTTCTGAAAGGAAACATAGAAAAGGAGTCTCTACCAAGCTGTAACATTCCAGAGACGTTGGTTTTTTATTTAGTGCATTTTTATTTACATTCCCTACAGTGGCTGAAGGTTGCTTTGGAGGCTTGTTATTCTTTAAGGAACGATGTCAATAATAGCAAATAGAATAGAATCATCCCCATCATCGTGGCTGTACGCTAAAATTGGGGGTAGAGGGGAGGATTTGAGGCATTCAGTGTACCTCTCCATTATTAACTGAGCTTGTTTCTGCTGAACATTTTATAATGCAGGAACAACAACGAGGCTATCTCTCAGTCAGGGGGGGGGGGGGAGGAAGGGCCGTGCACCTCTCCAGGGGTTTACCGGGGCCTTTCGGTGTCCTTCGTGACATTCTCCAGGAGACCTTGGAGGTACATATGCCGGTGGACGTCGCCGTCCTGGAGAGGAAGAGAACAGGATTACAGCCATCGCTTCAGACGCAGGGAAGAAATGCGGAGGCGGGCCGCTTCTGAGGCAAGGCGACCGAGGCTGCGAAGGCAGAGCAAGGAGGCCCCTACCTCGAAGAAGGGATGGTCTGCGGGGTAGCGGACCCAAGTGGGGCGGAAACGGAAAGGACCTGTCTCTTCGCCAGCCATTCTGCCCGACCGCTGTTTCTCTCCCTGAAACTAGAGCACCTCCGCTTCCGCTTCCGGGTCATGCGGAGGATGGTTGCTGGGAGACGAGGGGGCGGGCCAGGAAAGGTAGAGGCTTTGGTACCTTGCTCCTAATAAGTATGGTCCTGCCTTGCAGGGTTGTTATTGCTGCCCTGGTGAAGCGCTAATGCTGCTTTCTCGTCACTATGAGCGAGTTTCGGATTCATCACGACGTGAACGAGCTCCTGAGCTTACTGCGAGTGCGGGGCGGCGGGGAAGGGGCGGAGGTTTACATCGACCTGCTGCAGAAGAACCGCGCTCCTTATCTCACCACCACCGCCTCCGCCCTCGGAGCCAAGGTGGGTCGGCCGGGAGAAACGGGGGTCGGGGAGGACGGTGGGCGGACAGCGGAGTCCTTTCGGGCCCGGGAATATCCAATTTGATAGCAAAAGGCCTTTTGTATAGAAGAGAATGAGATATTTTGAAGTAAACGCCGTACAGGGATCACGGATAGCTGCGTACGCCCACTCGGCTGTTCCTCGGCAGTAATAATGTTCAACGGTAAAGTGTTTTTAAAAATCAATTTTAAAAGGGCTGACTGGCCTAGCATAAACTCTGGTGAGATGAAGATACCCATAAAGCACCTTCTGGGTCCAGTGACCCAGAGGGGGCCTCTGCCACCTAAAAGAGCTACTGGTTTCCTTCAAAATACGGAAGCTGTGTTCGTATTTGCTGGCCTCGCTGACCATCTTTTATCCCGGAGTGAGCCAGGCAAATCCAGATTCATAGAGTTATGCAGAGCCATTTAGCCCATCAGGTCCGATCCCCTGCTTGGGGTAGGAACCAAAATTAAACTGTTTATTTATATATATCAAATTTGTCACCGCCCATCTCATTAAACAGCTCTGGGCGGTTCACAAAACAATTAAAATAAATTAAAATTACAAAATTACAATAATAAATAGAAAATAAATAAATCAAAAATAATTAGCAGTCACTCAGGGAGCATCACTTGAGGCGCTAGCCAGCCCCAGGATTGGGTAAGGTTGTTATCACCCCACGCAAGCTGGCAGAGCCAGGTCTTTAATTCTTTCCGGAAGGCCGGTAGGGTGGGGGCCTCCCACACCTCTGGGGGGAGAATGTTCCAAAGGGCGGGGGCAACGGCAGAGAAGGCTCTTCTTCTGGGCCCCGCAGTTATTGGTCTATTGGTGTATAGACATGGTGATAGCAAAGATGTTTTCGCCAAGATAGAAGAAACATGGGGAGATGTGTAAGTGATGTTGGTCTCTTTATCTTTTTTTTTTTTTTTTTTGGCTTCCTCACTCCTCTTCTTTTGCATAATGTTGCATACCCCAAAGAGGAATGGCTTGGTGGGTACATATATGATGCAAATACAACCAGAGAGGGAAAATGTATAGCAGCTTTTTTTCCTCCCACTACAGGATCACAGTCTGGCTGCCTAGCAATTCTGCTTCATGCCAGAGCAAAGAGGCTTTGTTAAGTAGAAAAGTGCTCTGGAAGTCTATAGATAAATATGTGTGTATTTTCCTCTTGTAATACATAACAACAATACTGTTATTGTTGGCTGTTTTATTTTGGTTGTTTTTGTACACGATCCAAAGTTGCACTTCTCAAGTTGGGCCGCCATATAAATTCTTTAATTAAAATTTTAAAAGTAAATAATAATAACAGTAATGTGCTCCCTAGGTTAAAATTGCAGAGTTTTCTCGGACTCCAGAAGATTTCTTGAACAAATACGATGAACTGAAATCAAAGAACACAAGGCATCTTGACTCACTTGTGTATCTGCTGTCCAAGCTTACAGAAGACAAAGAGGTAGAAGCAATTTTAATTCTTCTTTAGTTGTGTTGGTAAGAAGAATAGGATACCAAGCATTAAAGGAGTCAAGACCAACCACGGTTGCTCAGTGGGGTCCAGAAAGGAGTAGAAACAAGAAGGAAATTCTCTTGCATTCTCAAAGTAACAGCATTGAGTTGAGGAATACAGCAAAGCAAAATAAAAGTCTAGTCTAAGTAACAGTAGTTTTCCAAGGCCATGGGCAGAATAATTTCTATATGTAGTACCAGAGTCTTTTTAATTGGGGATGTTACTGGAGATGATAATAGAATGTAGGGGATGAAAGAGATTTGGGAAATTATCTAGTCCAGGGTTCCCCAAAGTGGTCAATATCAACCACTAAGGGTTGATGGGACTATCCATTGTTGTTATTATTTGTAGTGCTATTAGTTAAAGTAGTATTTATTAAATTATTTTCATATAATAAATGTTTGGGTGTTGATGAACAATCTGAAACTTCATGAAGGAGTCAATGAGCTGAAGAGTTTGGGAACCCCTGATCTAGCCAAACCCCCTGTCCAGTCAACCCCCTGTCCTGATCTAGTTAAACCCCCTGTCCAGTGTGGGAATTCAGTAGTATAGCATCACTGACTGACAAGAGATCCAGTCTCTATTTACACACCTCTGGAGAAGGAGAGTCCACCATCACTCAAGATAGTCTGTTCCATTGTTGAACAGTTCTTACCATTAGGAACTTTCTTCTGATGTCCAGCTAAAATCTGCTTCCTTATAATTGAAACCCATTTAACTAATACAGAGGATCTTCTGCACAAAGAGAATACATTCCATCCTAAAAAAAAAATTTTTTTTAAGTAAACACTTATTCAAGGATGTTTCAGAAACTGAATTAAGTTATTAACAGGTACTCACTATAAAGCTATAATCAAGAACACCTGGGCAAGAGAGCTTTGTGCTACAGAACCAAAAGCTGAACGCTTTAAAAGATTGTGTACAAAACTCATCTTGCCATACAGACACCCAAACTCCATAAAAGGATACTCTAATCTGAAGGGGTATCTGAATTGCCAGAAATGAAAGTAGATGTCCAGATATGTTGATAGCCAGAAGTACAGCAAGTTTAATGAATAATAATGAAGGAAATCATCCATGTGTATGTGAAAGACTTTGGAGCCGTCATTATTTCTGAGTTTTGCTTTTTGGACCATTTTTTAGACTCTACAATACTTGCAGCAGAATGCGAAGGAAAGGGCAGAACTTGCAGCAAATGCAGCAGCCAGTAACAGTGGTAGCAGCAGCCTCACTTTCTCTGTCCCCTCAACAACTTCCAAAATGACTGTTCAAGAACTGGAGGAGTTACGGAAACAGCTGGGCACTGTGACAACTGGCTCCAGCTTGCAGCAGGTCTCTGAGATTCTTCCTTTGTTTGTGTATTTGATGTATATAAGCCAGTCACAAGGGTACATGCATATTCTTTATGATTCCACATTTATTGGGGGGGAGTGAAATTTATTTTCCTAATAAGCAATTGTGATTTACTTCTTACTAGAAAACCTTTAGAAAGATTGAAGCCATTGGGGGGAGGCTTTTTTCCTCGGTTTTTTTTTTTTAAATAAGATCATAACTTTGGAGAGAAAAATAGAAATTCGTGTTATAAGTTTCTTCTCAGACTTAAAATTTTTCACTTTTGCTAACATAGATGCTTCCCTCTAAGAAAGATGTGGAATGCTATTTGAACGTCAGCTGGTTATTGCCAAAAACATCTAGTGGAATTATTTTGATGTTGGAAGGTGATAGAAGAGATTGCAAATAAAATAATTGCCGAAACCTTTGATTGTGAATGAAGAACATATCCCCTGTCAAGAAACAAAAATTGAGGTTATCCAATATTATATATTTATCAAAAGTTATAAGGAATCATGAGGAAATTATACATACTCTAGTAACTTCTTGGGTAGATGCTGCAATATGTTATATATAGGCTATCTCTGAAAATCCTTTGACAACTTCAGTTACTCAATATAGCCCTGAAAGGTTACTTATAACCTATCTAGTACTCTGTTAGCTATCGTGACTGCCAATTCATTTCTGAGCGCAGTTCACTATCTTGATGTTGATTTTTAAAGCCCTGAATGATTAGAGGCCAGGCCTGAGTGGCCTGAGGAATGCTTCCTCCTGTATGGACTAGCCTGGCTCTTCAGTCATTTTCTGACGATCCTGTATTTGTAAAGTGTGGTTGTGGATGCTTAAAGAGGACTAAACAATGTTACTTGGCACCTTTCAATTTTTCAGTTATATGTACAACTTTTGAGCTCTTTGTGGAATGTGAAGACTGTATGAGAAGTGTGGTATTAACTGGTTGGGGTTTTTTTAAGAAATATTTTTGACTGCTCAAATAAAGATAGATAACATCACTCTTTTTTTTTCTTTTGGCCCTGCAGTAAATTCATTGCTAAAAATATTTCACCCTGCTGTGACAAAGAACCAATTTGTCTCATCTCTTCTGTGGCAAAAAGGCTTCTTTTATTCATTTGATAAGAATTTCACTCAGAGAGTGCTCATGTCTCTTTTTTGTTTGACAGCCTCTTGAACTTGTACGAAAGGCACTCAGAGAAAAGCAGAACAAGAAAAATTCTGGCCAGCCTATCCCATCGTTCCCTTCCTGGGTGTATGAGAGACCAGCTCTTATTGGAGACTTTCTCTCTAGCTCTAGTTTAAGCACAGATACAACTGTGCCAATAGGTAAGTAAAAGTGGTAGATTATAAGACCATCTAATCTTGAAGCTCAACACCATTTGTTTGGTTGGAGCCTTTCATTGGCACTTAAACATTCAACCTATATATATATGCTAGTAACATCCAGTTTCTTGCTAGCATACCTCAAAGGAACTGGGATGTATAGTTAGAGATATTAATTAATCTGTGTACATTACTCTGTCAAACCAGGGAAAATTCTTTTGCATCTAAACTTGATCCTTTTAATACCAAAACTTGATTCTCCAGAAGTCTGAAGGTTATTTGTTTTTAAGAGCCCTTCCCCAAAATAACATATCTCTTTGGTTTTCCCATCAGGAACATTACCATTGGCAGCCCAAGAGTCTGCAGTTGTGGAAGACTTGCTGTATGTTTTGATAGGTGTGGACGGCAGATACATCACAGCACAGCCCCTTGTTGGTAGAGAGAATCGTACTTTTTTAGTGGATC